CTGTTCTCACATTTACCTGAAGGACTTTTGAGAGACTCCAACTAGACTGCAGTTGTCTGAGACTGAACACTATCCACCTTTTTTGCAATGCGCAAGTAATTTTCCATGCAGTGTGTGAGACTTCTGATTCATTAGACGTTATACTTCAGGTAAAAATCTAGAGGAATCATAAAGTGCAGCAAACTGTAAGGCTATTTGTGTGTTTATGATAATTATATTAAATTAAAATAAGATAACAAAATGCCAGTTTGCAGTATAAAGCAGCATAACAGACTGTTGTTGTACAGGTGAAATGTTGTACTGTGGCTGATTGTAAAGTGCTTTGGGTGTACAGCAATACACAACGAAAAAGTGCTATAGAAATGCCTCATTCATTCATTCATTATATATCTGATTCCTGTATATCTGAGATGCTGTATTATTTCTCTCAAATTGTGCTCTTTTCAGTCATTACTCCTAATAATTCTCATAATTTCCATCAATCTCTGTGTACGGATTGGGAGCAGTACTGATGAAACGTCAGTAGTTTTCTTATTGTCCTTTTATGGTCATTAGTTCCTGTATCCTGTTTGGTTGTTAAACTATCATTTCTTAGTAGGATAAATACAGTGTTGGTAGCATAATCTGATAGGTAGCATTATTTGTCAGAACACCGGCCCTGTGTGTCATGTCACATTGGCACAGGTTTTATGCCAGATAGGTAATACAGTTCCTACCTCTAAAAATATTTTCTGTTTTTAACAGCAGCTGTAAGCACAGACTCTGACACATAGAAGGACACATTAATATTAACACAGTTTGATTACTGAGATATATTAAGATATGAGTAACATATTACAAAATCTTTTTACAATCTACAGTACATCATGTGATTTTTTTCAACACTCATATTTGCATCTTTGTGCTGTTTAATCAGTAATCTATTTTCTCTTTCAGCTGGCACATGATGGAGCATTTCAGTCTGTCTACAGAGAAGTCCTGCGAAACTCATGAGATCTATACCTATCTATCTATCTATCTATCTATCTATCTATCTATCTATCTATCTATCTATCTATCTATCTATGTGTCCGTCCGTCCGTCCATCCATCCATCCATCCATCTGTTTCCTGTATATTTGAGACATTGTATTTTTCATGATACTCTTTTCATTCAAGTACAAAATTCTTGTAATAAATCCTGATCTCAAATACATCTGTCTCTGTGTAAGGATTAGCAGCAGTCCAAATGCATGAATGGTCAGTATTTGAAGCGTTTTCTTTTATGGTCATTTGTTCCTGTTCTAGACACCCACATCTTTCAGTTTGGGTCCTAGATTTGCGAGCTAAACTGTGTTGTGTAGTGTTATGTAGTTAAGTAGCAGAGACTTACTAAACACTGAACTAAGTTCAACACTTATTAATGCATTACATATGATATACTTACATTGACCAACGTTTTTTTACAATCTATTATTATTTTATTATTTTGTAATCGCTTAATCTGGCTGTTCTTAATTTGTAAATATATTAGGCTCCAGACCCATACTGGACTGATTGACATTCTTTAGATTATTTAGCAAAATTTGAACTTGATACGTTTTAAATTATACATAATATAATGCTTTGTAAAATATATATATAATATAATATATATATATATATATATATATATATATATTGTGGCTTTGAACATCCAAAATATACATGATGTGACAACATCTTGATGGTGTGTTATTATATTTTATCTTTCAGTTGGCATTTCCATCTATCATAGAACTAGAGGAAGATCCAATTATTAGAAAAGTGTTGATAATAAGCCTTATATTTTGTATTTGCTTGATACTTAGTCCATTTTTTAATCGATATCCCGCCTACTTTTGTGAATAATTTGTTTCTAACCAGTGTGTCAGAGCGTTTATCAAACTGCCAGAGTCACAAGATTTCAGTAAATGAGGATTCATCATTACATCATATTGTTTCGTAATTTCAGTGTTTCTCAGTGGGCCCGTCCACATACCCACACTTGCGGTCTTTACCACTTGTCTACTTACATGACGTATTTCCTGTATTAGGTCCAAATGTTCAAACCTCTAGTATGTGCAAAATTTTTAATAACTGGATGGGAAACAGTGTTGTTACAATGTAAGTGTACAGGGCTTTATTTTGATTTCCAACACACTGCCGTTTAAAAAAAAATTAAATGTCGGTTCAGTAGTCCCTATGTATCAAGACGATTAAGTAATTGTGGTTCTTCTAATTAAGTGATAAAAAACAGTTGCAAATGTTGTACAAAATACACACTCATCTTGCACAAAATAAAGTGTGCAACACTTTGTTTTACTACCCAATTATGTGTAATATCTAATAATTAATTTAACTTACAGTGGAATTATTTCCTCAACATTTCAAGATTTCAGGGCACATGAGTTCCTTAACGTGATGCATGATGAGATACAGAGCATTTGCCATTTTTCAGACCTGGGACAGTCTTGGGCACTTCCTGTTTTGTGCTGTGGGATTACTCATTTAAGAATTCTTAGATCTACTGATCCTATATCCTGACATACAATCGCCTGAAAAACGAAGGTGAAATGCATTGTATTTAACGTTTATGGTATCCCATAATATAATAATTGTTATAAAGATGATGACATCAGATGAACGGTTTTGTTAAAGTTTGTAGCCAGAGGTTCCTGTCAGTTCCTGATCCCTTATTGTAAATCAAATGAGCCAGATTACTGAGACTCTTACCTTTTTTGTGTAATGGCTCTTAGTGTCCCTGCCCCAGTCTTTGAGTAGTTATGCTGATTGGATTAGGACTGGTGAAATGGGGCAGGTTGCTATAATTGAATACTTAATCTGCATGCTTTTTATAAGGTTGTCACCCAGGTGCTTTGTATTTATTCCTAAGCACTGCCTCTTAAATGTATAATAAACTACAATGTATCACTGCCTTAGTTAGACTTTTGATGACTGCAGCGCCACACAGTGTGTTCTTAATAAAGAAGCCTGCTGAAGATATCCAAGAGTCTTCTGGTCTTCACTTCTGAATTTCCAACAGTGGGCAAGACCACAAGTGTGCGCATTGTGACAGGCCTAGTGAACTCATAAACCAGTGTCTATGGTTTTTACATAATCTCAAATCAGTTTCATACATTTGCAGTCATTTTAATGACACTTGTAAAAAGAATGAGTAGTAGTTAAAGGGGTCATGAACTGAGCAACCAATGTCATTTTATAGTCATTGTACTATAAAAGCATCCTGTAAGTTTCAAAACTCAAACATTTCTCGTTAGTCTAAAAACAGCTTATATTGAATCCAGTCTGCCAAAACAAAAGGTTGTGGAATGTTCTACTCTATGATGTAATAGTGTGGCTAAACACCACCTCCGCAGAAGATAAGCACCTGCTTATACATCGCTGCGTGTTTAGTCCCGCCCACCGAATAACGAAAGAGGTGAACGCAGCTCAACACAGAAACCAAACGATAAAGATGGCCCCGAAGACAACAAGACGCTGTTCAGTGCCAAGTTGTGGAAAAAAGTCTTTGCATTGCTTTCCTTCTGAGCCTAACATTAAAAAAAGAGTGGTTCCAGAGTTCCAGACCGCATCAGTAAGAACAGTAAGTCCTTTGTTCACTTCATTTTCCTTACAAACAAAGCACAATTCGACGCGGGATTTTCAGAAAGACGCTGTGCCGACTATATTGGATCCAACAGCATTGTCTCAACACACAAGTGTGAGTAGGCTAACTGCTTTGTCTCTTCTTACAGATCGTTTGATATGTACTGAGGATTTATGCGTCCATCTATGAAGGATGTAGGCTGTCAAACATACACAACTCTTAGCCAATCAGAGCAGTGGGCGTTTATACTGAAATTATGATGTTTTTGGATGTAAAAATCTTGCTAACATTATAAGGGGACCACAGAGAACAGTATATAATAATAAAAAAGGCAGTTCGTTCATGATCCCTTTAATAGTCTCTTGTTGGACTGTTTAGCCAAGCCCTACATACAACATGCAAAACATTGTCATTTAATAGATTACACTTTCTTTAAACCATTTGCAACTGATTTGTAAAAGGTGTTTTTATGTGTGTTTGGTGCATTTACAGTTTTGACCAGCAGGCATCACCAGCATTCCGGGTGCTTCGAAACACTGAAGCACTTTGGGAAGCAATTGGTTCAGCTGATTCAAAGTTTCGAAAAGGTTAATTTCTCAGGGTCAAGTCTGAGAAGGAGGGGGCGGCATAAACAACGTTCAGTACCTGTTTCAACCACTAGCATATATATAGCCAACAACATACTGTACAGATCAAAATCAAGCATTGTGTTAGTTCAGGCAGACTACGTCAGTCAAGCTTGCATCATCTGATAGTCAGCTGTTCCTGACGTGTACCAATCCAGTCTTGACATTTATCACAGCAGATCATTATTTCCATTCTTTCAGCTTTTCTCCTATCGCATCGCTGCTCGCAAATCAGACTCCCTTCTCCAACCCTAACTCCACCCAACTGAACCTGTAGTCTAATCTGACTTTTGTTTCTTTCCATACAGTTCACTACATTGCAAGTATTCTCTACAAAGTATTTGTATTTTCTCTCATGTTTAATTGTAAATTGTGAATTGTAATTATGTAGGCATAGACTGGATCTGTTATGTACCCCAGGGGGGTTTGACTTGCTGCTCTCCCCACTCTGTCTAAGCATGGCTGCATGGACAGGCAGAACCATACCGCCAACACTAACTGTATGCAATATAATTGTAATAAATATACTTTGACGAAAAAAATCAGCTTTTTGTATAACCGATACATAATGCAGTTAAAATTTATTTAATTGAGAAATACAGTTTCTCAAAAAGTAAAACGATCATGCATGATCTTCTCAAGGAAAGAGAGAAAGAGCTGTACTGAGCATGTGCTGATAAACTGTCAAAATATGTTTGTGATTGATCAAATTTAGTATACTTGCCCCCCCTGATGATGATGGGGGAAGATCCTTCACTGTGCTGATGTCTGGACTGAGACTGACTGATTCTGGCTGGTACTGCTGCTTTGCTGGACAGGCAGTGAGTCCTGTTCATCTCACTGTAACTGAGGCAGAACCAGGCAAAGAGAAAGACATGTCAGTATTCAGACATTTCTCATTGATGTTTCATCTTCGTGGAATGGATCTGTATTTGTCTGCATTTTGTTGTCATGCACTATTTCCTCAATTTCTTTTTTCTTTTACTCTGACAATCATTTCTTCATTTCCTACATGATTTTTCTTTTCTTTTCTGTTTTTTTTTTTTTTTAATCTTTGCAGAAGTGCAACAGCACATCACAAGAACAATAATAATAATACAAATGAAGTCATTGACAAACCACAAAAGTACCACATCTGCATTCTTTAAAATAAATAAAGCTTAAACTAATTCTACGACTATTAGGTTGAAATATTTCAGATATTTCTTATTTTCTGGTGCCATTTATGCAGCCGATTTAGTCCCACATCATTTAAAAAAAGATTTGAAAATTTTTAAGATTTTAAAATGATTCTTTATTTCTCACAGAGATAATGAACTCCTGACTGTGTGGCTTCCAGTTTCAGCTGCGCTTCTGCTGTTATTGGTTCTGATCGTTTTTTTCATCTGGAGATTGAGACGGAGACCCAGTCAGTTTGACCTCTTTTTTTGGTCTTTTTTTTTTGTTTAATAATTCATTTCATTCAATTCCATTTTATAATATATTTCAAAAGCACAATTTCTGTATATAGTATATCAATTGTTAATGTAATGTTATTGTTTCTTTTTTTTTTTTTTAATGAAGAGCAAGACCAACACCAAATCAGAGAGAGAAACAGCAGCACAACCATTGACAGAGTAAGTCAGTTAGTTTATGAGAAACTACTTATGAAAATGTTTGTTTGACAACATCAGTATTCAGTTTGGCTAATTTTTTTAAACCATATTTAACATTCTCTAAATTCAACATTACTTCAACGTTAATTCAGAGTAGAATTAACATTCTATTCTGTAAGTGCAATTTTCTGAACTGTTTTATGGGACTTCAGAACTCTGTTACATGTCCACAAAATGTAAAGTATTAAAGTAACTCACCCAAAACATTTGGTTACACTTTATTTCGAAGTCAGTGTTTCTGCTTGAATGTTTAAGCACTGCTTCTGTTCTTATGTTTTTGTGGTTGATTTCTGTCCAACACCCACAGTGCAGATTCTCACATTATTTTCTTTTTTGCTCAGAAGTTCAGCACGCTCATTACAGGAACCAATGCAACACAGAACTGTACTTAAAGATTTCTTCTTCTTCTGAGATACAGAGAAGAAATGGGGCCTGCATATATCAAAAAAGAAAAATAGTGGCGAACATGATATCAAACAGCAGACAAAATACCAGCATAACTGCATTTACAAAAATGTATACTGTAGTTCACTTGTTAGTAATTGCACAAACATGTTCAGCATAGCTTTATAAGAGGAGAGAACAGATTAGATATTAAAAAATGTCTGGTGAAATCTGATGAAAGTTTTCCCAACCATTATTTACTGTTAAATTAATAATAGTTAGGAAAAAATGTAATACATAATTAGGGGTTCGTTTAATTATTTTTTTTTTAAGTAAGATTACTTTTTTATATTAGATACTTTTTGCATTGTTTTCTCAAACTCTGATATAATTTTCTTTTATCTCATGCTACAAATGTTTTGCTGTTCTGACAGTTTAGAGTTTGAACATGCTTTTATTTTGTTAATCAAATTTTGCTTTTTCAAAATAATTTATACCAACCCCCATGAACCCTTTCCCTCAACTCCACCCCATTTTATTTGAAGTGTTTTAATCACAAAATATAAACAGAAATAAATTTTGTAAAACAGCACAAATTATGAATTTGTTGAACAAACAATAATAATAAAAATAACCTTACAATTAAACATTACCGTTTGTGTGCTTTAATCGCGTTAATAGTTGTGTCAGATTAGTGGCTGATATAGAAAAATGTTGTCCAGTCAGTCGCAGTAA